GGGGGCAATCACTTTTTCACACAGGGCCATGTAGGTTTGGATTTTTTTCCCCCTTAATAATAAAAACCTTCATTTAAAAACTGCATTTTGTGTTTACTTGTGTTATCTTTGTCTAATATTTAAATTTGTTTGATGATCTGAAACATTTAAGTGTGACAAACACGCAAAAAAATAAGAAATCAGGAAGGGGGCAAACACTTTTTCACACAACTGTATATATATATATACATACATACATACATACATACATATATACACACACATATACACACATACATACATATATACACACACATATACACACATACATACATATATACACACACATATACACACATACATATATACACATACATATACACACATATACACACATACATACACATACATATACATATACACACATATACACACATATACACACACATGCATATATACACATGCATATATACACATGCATATATACACATGCATATATACACATGCATATATACACATGCATATATACACATACATATATACACATACACATGCATATATACACATACACATGCATATATACACATACACATGCATATATACACATACACATGCATATATACACATGCATATATACACATACACATGCATATATACACATGCATATATACACATGCATATATACACATGCATATATACACATGTGTGTATTTATATACTTAGTATATATATATATATATATATATATACACATAAAAGTCTTGTAGACTGAGTGATGATTTAAATTTTAAATCATCACTTTATTCATTCTCAGCAGACAACTTGCGAGTAGTACAAGTAGAATAGATAGTGTGAAACGCACAGGTGTTTGTAATATTAATGATTGTTCTGTTCTGACAGGAAGCAGCTGTGCGTTTCTTATTGTCACGTGTCAAGATGTTTCCAGTGAAAAAGGCCTAGTAATCAACTAAAGCGCAGTGTTTTTGCCGCTTAGGGTGTCTCTGTCCATTTCCAGGTACGCTACCTGTTGAACAAGTCAGAGGACACCGAGCACCTGCAGAGACGGGTTACAGAATAAAACCTTTCGCAGAAGTCAGTGACGGCAGCTCTCACCTGTTGGCTCCTTCCCGTCATGCAGCCTCATAAACTAGCCAATCAGCTAACATGAAGTGTGCGGGCCGGCTCCGGAAAGTCAGGCGGGACTTCCGGCTAACATCAGGCACCCCCCGCGGTGTGACTGATTAAATATGGGTCAACTTCACGGCTTAAACCCGGTCCTGAGTGAGCAGTACGTTACCGGTTAACGGCCCCATGTCGGCATGCTCCCTGCTGTCAGGTCCCTCTGCTCCGTTTCTGTTATGCTAATATTGTGGTTCACGCCCACCTCGCCTGATTAAAGTTAACGTTACTTGAACACATCACTTTTAATTAATTAATTTGGCTCCTCGTTTTTTTCAGAATCGCTGTTAAAAGGTCCAATTTAAAATAAGAAAGAAAAAAGATGAATTTACCAAGTTTGTTACATGATTTAGTTAAAATGGAGAACATGCAAATTAATTGAGTTTTAAATAAAAATCGAATATTTTTTCCACATACAGTACAAACAGTAACACGTGCTGATCATACCGGTTATTAGTAGTTAGTATGCAAAATCAATATGGCTTACATCTAGGCAAGAAAATCACTACAGTGCAGAGCAATATATATGTTTATATAAATAGACATATATATATATTAGCATGTTCTGTACTAGTTTGGTTCTTAATACTAACACACTGAATAAAACATTTTGTTTTTAAGTCTAATTAAGTTTGCTGTGTGATAACATTACATAAACAGCTTTCTAGTGAGCGCGCCTACCTGTCAATCTCAGCTCCTGTCAATCGCCGTCACCTCCTGTTCCGGTGTGTTTTGGCACTTCACAAACCGGCTACAAGTTCAAAAGTCCTGCCATCTGTAACGCTTTAAAAGTCCTCGGTCATGGCGTGAGGGAGACTGAATTAAGTTTGCACCAGTCCGTCGTGAACAGAAAAAACCAGTCGTGATTTCAGCACTGTGGCTGCTGGCGTCAGTTCTTTGCTGTCTTTGTACAACACAAAGATCGTCTGTGTGTCTGAAGATGGATCACTCCAGTAACGGGAAACAGACCGGCTCTGTTTTTGTGCACTTGTTTCTGTCTGCAATGTAGTTAGTAAGTTAGAGGTTTTGTTTTATTATTAATTTGTGTACTGAATAAAACAGTTTAGGAAACATAATTTCTTACTTTCTTGCAAGAGTGAATAAGTGGCATTTCCAATTGCTAACACAGCATACATTTTGAATTATTCTTCATACATGTTTTCACAACTGGGCACTGCCTACTTATTCATTTATTAGCCTGCAAGTAAAAACAACTATAGTTTAAAGTGTGTGCAGTGTTGGTATCATCATATATTTCTACTTGCCACACTAGAGGATTTCTTTGTGGATTTTGCATGTTGCTCTAGGGTTCATGTACATTCCCTCACTGATTGGTGAAGCAGTTAGTAATTTACATATTTACTGTTCATTGGTTTCTTCTCATTTAATGTCTGTGGTCTGCATTTCCTCCACCACTTCTTGATCTTTGCTGCAGCAGGAATCCGGAGCGAAGTGAAAGCTCTGTACTTCTCACATCTCTGGTGCACATTCACGCTGTCAGCCCACTCTTAAAGTAACAACACATATTTGCAATATTGCTGCACTTTGTGGCTGCAACTTCCACACAAAAAGTTGTAAAAAATATATTCAGACATATTTCAAATCATGGTTAAGCAGTAGACAAAATTCGTAGTGTTATTAATGGTTCAAGTGAGGTACATGTGATGGGATTCTATGGTTAATTCACCTTTTTAAAAAAAAAAAAAAAAAAAAAAAAAAAAAAAAAAAATACATTTCAGGAAAATGTTTTGGACCGTCACCGCCGATTTAAATGCATTCACTTCATGAACTACCACGCTTACAGTTAAAAAGCTTTAAGTTGAATACAAACATATGGTTTACTTTGTCTCCATCATCTGGTCAATGGTGGTCACGAAAACGTTGTGGTAATAGTGTAGATTGTGCCAAATCCTTAATATGTTCTGCACGGGTTTGAAAGGAATCACTGATGAAAAAAACATTAAAGTCACATTAAGAACATTAAAGATCCCCTCTAGATGCGTTTTAAGACACACAGAAATGCCCTGCTTTGAACAAAACATTGTGTTTCACTACCTACTTAATTAAGTTGCATCCACTCCTTGATCTAAAAGTCCAGAGCCTATGTGTACTAAAATACCCTTTTGTACATGTATAAGCTTAACCGATACATGTCTCCTACTTCACTGAAGAGTCCATTCTCAGTGTACACAGCACGCTTCCTGCTTCTTCGTCACACTTTTGTAAGTTGCATACTGAACCATGACTGTCTTCCACGCTATTCGTGACCTCATAACTACGTACACACACGACTTTGATTTAAGAAGCCAAACTCTGCATATACATAAACCTGCAGAAATGACGTTTAAACATCCAGGTGAAGGAACAATAAGTAATCCCTCTCTCTGACACACGTAAACCAAAACCAACGTAATGCAGGCGGCTGTCAAAAAAAAAAAAGAAAAAAAAGTGGAAGAAATGGTTCAGAATTGTGTTTGGCACTGATCATCTCTTATTCATTGTAAGTAGAACTACATGACAGTTTACAGCTCATGCCAAAAGACTGTTTCACACTCTATTGACTCTAAATGAGCGTTGTAACATTTCATTCAGCTGGTTTTATAAAAATAACTAAAATGTGTCTAGTGACACATTGAAATGTAATTTATAGCTTTGTATAAGTCAAGAAATGTAAAAAATGAACTCCGTAGATAATCTGGACTAATGATCATACCACGACTCAACAGCTATGATGTGATTGTTTATTGCAGCAACGACAGCGTGAAGCTAAGAAAGTTTGAATACAGTTTGAGAAAGGAAAAAAAACAAAAAAAACAAAAAATTCATCGTTTTAACAATTCAAAATTAATTCTTGAAAGTCCAACAAAGCCCAATTTTGTCGACAAATTCCTAAATCTGCGTCCTCAGCAATATTAGAAATGTAATTTCCAGAACATGCCTCATTAAAGCCCAGCAGGTCAGTTCACTCACACTATGAAGGAGAATAGATCATTTTAAATGGCCTCTGATCTAAAACAACGTTGCAGGTTTTCCTGCTGAAGCATGGTAGTTTCCAAATAAAAAAAAGATCGTAAATGACAAGGCATAGCAGATTTGCTAAAGGAGGACATCGTTAACTACTGTAACATTCAGTGTGTACTTTTGAAACCCCATTTATGTAAATGTATCACTTTCATTATTCCTGTGAATATATCTCAAGGTGTTTAAACCAGTAACGTTTGATTCAAGCAGATAACAGGAGGGGAAAAAAAAAATAAAAAATACAGAGACGTCAAAACAAGCCAAATACACGTCGTCCAAACCCTCTTTAAGCACTGTATGTAGAAACAGTTATGAAACAAAGGCACAAGGAAATCTCTTACCAAAGAAGAAACACATCAAAAGAGAAGCTAGAATTCACTTCCACACCGACTGTGGTGATCTGTTCTGGAAACGGAGGACCACACCGCTGTAACCTGTGGTCCCAAACATGTTCGTAACATTCTTCTCTTTAAAGCAAAGACTTTTCATATCATGAGAAACAAAAATGATCAGCGTCTTATTAAAATGAGAAAAACGCTCACTAAAGAAACCCAGAACAATTTAAAGACAGCGACTGTACTAAGGAGACGGACGGAGCTGATGTGAAACCTTTTCACAAGAAGAAACTACTGAAGCATGGAAACATCATTGAAGGGATCTCAAGATGCGGACACCATGTGCATCGAGTAGCACTCTACTGTGTATATACAAACATTATGGGAAACACTGTCCCCGATAATAAAAAAACATCCATTGCTACAGTGAAATATGGAGGGCACTGCCTCCGATACGGACAAACACTGGTAGGCAAAAACTACCTTCTTTTTCACATTATGGAAGACACTGCAGCCGATAATGTCAGCCGATAATGTCAGGACGAGAGGCGTACATGCACCAAGGGACCAGCACCGACAGCCAGAGGTACGATATGTGAGCTGGCCTTGTTTTAAAGACCAATCCACTGTCAGTAGTGCAGCGTTCTGAGGAGCCGTTTGTTCAGTACTCGGTCCTGGCCGTCAGTCGACATGTACGCCTCTTTTAAGCAGATGCTGCTCTTGTCATTTCGACAGTATAACTGTCATAACTATGGAAGGCACTGCTCCCGATAATTATACTCATTTTTTTATAAAAGGCAATAAAAAAATATTTATAGTGAACCCTGCCACTGATAAATAAATAACACAATAAATAGACGTACGGTTTTCAGTGCCAGGTGGTCGGAGAACTTCTCCCTTGGGTTTTTAAAGGCCTGCAGAGGTTTGCCCTCATGTCAGCAGGCAGGGGATTCAGGTAATAAAGACATTCTGATTTATTTGTTATTATTTAGGACTTTTCTAAAAGATCAATGCAGCACGAGTGTTAAGTGACGGCAAGTTACAACAGCCGACTGTCCAAGATTTGTTCGGTGCAACGCAACTTGTCTTTAACGTATTTTCGGTCTTTTTCAGCAACTTTAGTTGACAGCAGATTTCAGCACAGTATGAAATTATAGCTACCAATACTAACCAGCTCAGGTTTGAACACGAGGCTCCAGCAGCAGTGGAAATACCAGCAGCTTTTGATTTTTAATAATTGTGGTAAACAGTTGGAAAGTCATTAGCTTATATGCTTACATGCTGGCCATTTGAGTTGTATTCATCTCCGAGCTGGCAAACGCAGCCTGTCCTGTGACTATGACCTGATGATACTGTGCTGAAGAACGCTTTCATGAGGTAACGCCAATTTAAGAAGTACCGCCACATGTCATGGGCATCTGAAGGTAGTCATTACTAGCGCCAAAGTATTCAGAATGTCAGATTTAAATGACACATGTTAAAAAACATCTTCCCAAAAAGGTGAGGGGGAAAAAGTAAATGACCCTTTAGACTTTCTAGTTAAGCTATAAGGCGGAAGTACATTTTTAGAATTAATATTTGGCTTTATGGAGAGTTTCACAAAGAATGGCGATGAGCTCATCGCTCAAATGTTGGAGGTGATGACCGTGAAATTTGGTATCCGTTTAGTTACGGCCCCAATTTTATAATTTCCTTGGAGAGAGGAAAAAAAAAAAAAAAAAAAAAAAAAAAAAGAAAAAAAGAAAAAAGCTGTACATCTGTGACTGCCAGCTGTGGTAAGAGGGCCTGAACAAGGGGGGGGGATTACTTATTTTAGATTTCATTATCCAGAGACCAGATGTTCCCTGCTAGCGAGTTGGCACAGCCCTGAACTGTCCAGGTCGCCAGGGCAAACTGGTTGCGGAAAAGGTCGACGTCTGCGTCGGGGCGGTCGGTCCTGAGGTCTTCGAGGTGGTTCAACAGAGCATTGAGAGTGTGAGGCCCGGAGCCCAGCAGGATGTGGCGGTAAGGGCTCTCTCTGGGAGACACATAGGGGGACAGGAAGTTCCTTTCCACCTGCAGAAACGAGACGAGGACGACGGGACGATGAAAGAGGGACATCTGCGATGCTTTCTTTAAAGTCACTGGTATTGTTGTTTCGCTTGGACAATTAAAATAAAGTGACTTTTTCCTTTACATCATAAAATTGCAGGTTATTGTTTATTTTCAACGCAAGAAAAGACCGCTTCAGCGTTATGACACATTTTAATTATTTTTTTTAAGTCCCTGAAAACTTGTCTTGCGTATCGTTAATATGCAACATTAAGAAAGGCGACAAAGTTAGGCTTAGATATTTTTGTCTCTGCTGATCTGCTTCATCAGGACTGTAGGTGTGGTTCTATCAGATTTGATTGACAGTGATCTGGCAAAATAAGCAATAGATGTCCTACATGAAGAAACTCTGCCACTGATTACAGGGCCTTTATAAAATAAAGCAAGAGTGCAGTACAGCAAAGCACATAAAACAGATTGATTTCTTAACTAAGACATGTTAGGAGCTGAACAGGAGCAATAACTTTGTTTGTGAACTTGTCTAGTCTGGGTCTCACCGTCATTATGCGGTCATTGAGGATGCGGCACATCTCGATGTCCTCCAGGTCACTGTTCCGGATGTCTTCCACCAGCTGGCGAGCGGAGCGGCTGTAGGAGCCAGAGGCCAACATCAACCACTTCACTGTGAGGGCCTTGGGCAACAGCTCCCTCTGAAAGCACACATAGCATCCACAGGGGATATTTGGTATTCTGAATTAACAAAACTATACGGATGTGCATCTTTTGGACACATTAGGGTTACATAATCAAAGCCGCAATTAGACAAAAAAATAAAATAAAAAAATCTATTAAAAAAAAGGCAATAGAAACAAGTAACTCGGCTACTTTACAAAGAGTGAATTTGAAGGTAGAGTTAAATACAAAAAAAAAAAAAAATAAAAAAAAAAAAAAGTGTAACAACCCAAATCGCTGAGTCAGCCGGAAAGTTCAATCCATGTCAGCAAGAAAACAGGACACTCACCCCCCTAATAGAAAGGACTTTGCTGTTGATCTGAGACACTTTAGAGCGGATAATATTGTTGTACTTCATCACGTCCATCCGCAGCAGATGATCGTGCACCAGCCTCAACGCCATGTGACCTGCGAACCGGGTCGCCATCTCGGCCAGCTGAGTGACCCGGTTGCCCGTGACCACGTTCAGTTTCTCCCGGGTGTCCAGCATTGTGCCAGAGTATGGGTAGTCCTGAGAGCGGAAAGCAAGATGCGTTGATCATTACATCCCAGGATGAACCAAACTAACGTAATGGCTCAATGAACAAGCACGTCCTGGGCTACGGCTATCGACTCAAACAGATTGATGGAACTTGTAGTACGACTTACCGAGTTATCGGAGGTGAATCCAAAGGAGATTGAGGGAATGCCAGAGAAGGCAAGGAAAGGATAAGCAGCATTATCCACCTTAAAAGGCTCCAACCTGGAAAATAAACAAACATGCGAGATGATGAGGAAACGGCATGGATGTCACGGCGATGTGTACACATTGACGGGATCAACAGCCTGGTCTCACTTACACATTCAACTCAAAGTTGCGCTTTGCATATTGGGAGTAGAGTGTCCCAGTCTTGTCTGGAGAGTTCACCTGAGGAGAAGACAATTGCAGATGTACATTATATATTAACATTCATCAAGCAAAATTGATATTATTTAAATCATGACAATACTGCAGGCTTGTATCAATTGTACCTCTTTCATAGTGCCCTCGATCAGGCTGTGCATCAAAGGACTGGCTGACACTTTAAATCCTGTCTGACCTGGAACACACAGCTCATATTTAGTCATTCTGAAAATCACATATTCTGTCATATTGTAAGCATATGGAAGCTTTTAATATTTAATAGCCTGAAATCCTGAAGTAAATACCTGTTACAACTCCATCCAGGTTGATGTAGGAGAAGGCTTTCATGCTCAGAGAGGAAAGATAACCCTGGATATACAAAAAAACAAAATTAGAGTCTTATCACCAATCAGTATTATTACAGCATCAAAGCTGCCGATTAAGAAAACTGCAGCGGGGGAAATCTCTCACCTCCAACCACTCGGTGGCGCCAACACTCCCATATTCTCCAGCGCTCCAGCTGGCAAACACGATGCTTCTCCTCGGTTTGAACCCATCTGACAAGAAGATGATGAAATGCATTAACAGAAGAAGCAGCGCCCTCACTACATGAGAAATATTACATTTTGACTAAACATATCCTGACTTTTCTTCTTCAGCTACTAAATAGTTACTGTAGGATCTAATGTGAAGTGTAGATCCATTCTTCACCATTTCACATTACAAACGTACCATTCTTCACCATATCCGAGATGGAACGCGCCAACTCAGCAAGGACGCTGGTGCCGACGGTCGATGCAGCAAAACCTGCACCCCATGCATCCCTCTGAGCGCCGATAACCACATACCGATCTACAATTACAAAAAAATGAAAGAAGACGTGTCAATTACTCATTTTCAGGAAGTCTGTGTACCGACTTCCTGATCACAGCATCTCTGTTTTTAAATAAACAATTCCTTTTACCTGCATCCACAAAGCCTTCGATGACCCCAAAGACATTATAGATCTTTTTCTCAGTAAGAACGTTGTTGACCTCGACAGTAATGACGTCGCTCTCGTCTCCCAGTTTGTAGCGGCCTCCCCATCCATAGGGTTCATTCTGCCCCCCCAGCTGGCTGTAGGATGCAGACAATACATATTTTAACGCTTTGTACGCCGCTTCAAAGTCAACCGTAGTAAACAATCACAGCGCAAGAGGAATATTTAATATTAAAGTACATCATTTCAGTGTGTCCACAGCGAATGTGAGCCTTACTTCCGAATGCTGCTAGCCATGCCTGCTGTGATGGTCTGAGCCAGGATCTTAGGCAGGCCTGAGGACTGGACGGGCGGAAACTGGGTGTGGTTGAAGGAGGGGAAGCCGGGGGTGTAGGGATCCCCTGAACCCATGTGGACCTGTGGAGACATAAGACACAGAAGAAGATTAGATGGAAAGTTGCCAAATTTGCATACAGCTGTGATTCTACAGTGACACGTTGAAGGCTTTTGTGTTCCGAACTAATCTTCCCAGCAGCCTGACTCTCAAACGTCTAAATTTAAAATTAAAAAGATTACAAAACATCTAAACGCTTATACCCGAACGGCGTGTTTAATTAAGAGCACAACTCCGCCTTCGGCGCAAAGGTGTGAAGAAAGAAAGAACAATTGTGAGGCTGCCAATAATTTTATGGGAATCTCACTCCCCTTTTCTCACGAACTGATAGCAGAACCAATAACTAATGACCGAATGTCAAAGCCAGTCGAGCACAAAATACAAACAGAACACGGAACCACTGATTTAATATCATCAGTACACTGAACACATGGGCCTCATTCTCCAACATGTTGCTTCTAAACTGTCAACACTCACATGTCCATAGAGCTGAGTGGAGTCTCCAATAGAGTAATCAGAGCGGTCTTGGTAGATCAACACAGCAGAGGCACCCATTTTGGCAGCATTGGCTACCTACAAGTAAAAAATAAATAAAATTTGTATTGTCACCTACAGCAAAATCACGTATTTCAGAGTGATTCAGGCAAGAAGAAAGTTTACAGTAATATAAAAGTCACACTGAACCACCCACCTTCTCAGCAAAGCTGATCCGCCCCGCACGGACCAACATGACCCTGTCAGTCAGGTTGATGCTCTTTTCCTGCAGCATCTTGAAGTCACTTACCTGCCCGTAAAATGCATACAAGACGGCACCCTGGAACAAAATAAATATAGTAAATAAACTGCATTATCCTCTAAATAATACAAAAAAAGTTCTCTACTTTAGCTTTTAGATTACCGTCACTGTTCCATTGGCACTGTAGGAGAGAAATCCCTCCGGACGCTCGTCCCTCCCGTTCTTGAACACAAATCTGTTGGAGCCAGAAGCTGGGGGGTCCTGGACCTTCACAAAGTGCTCATCGGTCCAGGTCTTCATGCCGTACTCTTTGAACTTGTTGAGCACCTTGTTCGCCAGAGACTCATCATCTGGAGAACCAGCCCGGTGGTTGACACTGGAAAACTCACTAGGAGAGGAGGAATGACAACATGAGGGGGAAAGAACAAGGAGACAAGAAAACTGGAAACAATGACTGACTTTTTAAATTACAACACAAATAGACATTTTGTGTGCGGCTTATAGATTTACCTGAAGACAGGTTCAAATTCGGCTGCAGCAAGTTTCTGAGCGAGGAGCTTTTTGACATCTTGCCAGTCCATGAGGGGGGCAGCACCAGTCTCGTAGACAACAGATTCAATTATAGGGTCCTGAGAGGCCTCACAGATGGGAGCCATGTCCTTCTTACGATGGACCAGGTAGCCAATCAGGTACCCTGTAGGTAGCAGTGGTTTTAAATAAGAGGAGCAACCAGGGGCAGAAGGGTAGTACACATCCAAGGACAGACTAGAGGCATCAAATTACTGTCTAAACCACACAGTCAGCATTATTTAAATGCTATACCACCACCTGATCATGACAGTATTGTACAGTATGTAGACCTCGCATACATGTTCCTCACACATCCAGTCAATTACATTTCATTGAATCAAAGACTACAAGCCAAAAACTGAATTCTGGATATAAGAGCATTTAGTCTCTTTGTTGCTCAGAGAGGGACACCGTCAACCTTCCGCTATAGTTTTTCTGATACAAAAAAAAAAAAAAAAAAAAAAAAGATTTTGGGACATCCCCCACATGAGCCTTAAGGATGCTCAGGGCAAGTCAGGGCAAGTCTTAGAACAATCAGTTTATTTTCCTGAGACCTAACCTACAACTGATATTTCACGTTTGTGGTTGAACTGTAAATGTCAGGGCGTCTCTAAAGTGAGTCATCAGCATGGGTAGGAGAAGAGCTGCTGCGTCCACTGGTGCCACCATCAAAACACATTCAAAGCAGTAGTCCTAAGATTGATACTTAAGGGACACCACGTTATTTCATGCAAACTAAATATAAAAACACACAGCCCCTTCACTCTCACCGATGATGAAGATGAGGAGGGTGGTGGCGGCCATGAAGCAGAGGTTCTTTGGTTTGCGTCTGAGCTTTTGAGCCACGGAGGGTTTGTTGTTGGAGTTGTGATTGAGGTGTTCTCCCACGCCGTTTCCCCCAACCTCCTCGTCCATGTCGGACGACAGCTTCATCTCCACCTGGCTGTTGTCGCCTTCCATGTTCTGGGTCAGGTTGAAACGTGTGTAGGAGTGCGGCTCCCCGTTAAACTGCAACGACAGAACGATGCTTTATAGCGCTGGGCGGTATACCGTTTCTACTTTCCCGTATGATTCAAATTTTACACACACACGAAACAACTGCTGTAACTCTTCAACAGGCAGCTAAATATATTGTTCGCTGCTATGAGCGCTACAGTCAGAGCTAGTTATCTTAAGTGTATTGAGAGGGAACCCTAGTCATGGTTATAACACGACAATTAATAACCCACAACTAATGTTCTTTAACAGGGCAAAACACCACGACACAACAGTTTGTGACACCAGTTTGTAACGCTAATAAATTGTACATTTATAAAATTACACCAAACGGCATGCTGGGTACAGCTTGCTAAGCTAGCCCAACAGTCTGCTAACAGCTGGGAGAATGTCGCTACAGTAACATTACATTAAAGAACAGAACAGAGCGATGCAGGATGAACAAAGACAGACCGGAGATGCACCGATAGAGTCTGTGCCCAAGAGAGGAGCTGTGTCTGCTGTTTGGAAGCGTTTTGGTTTTAAAAAAATCCGATGTTTTGCGAGTTTGGAGCCACTGTTGTTGCCGCTGGTGGTAGCAGAAAACGTGAGTTATTTTCATGTGTGTAATAGACGCAATCTTAAATTTACACCTTGAAAACTGCAAACCCATCTACGTCATGTTTTTATGTTTGTTAAATTCTCAGTAGTGATAACTAAATGATATGCTTATTATACATATTACAAACAAAAACACTTTAAAAACTCTAAAACAATAATTTAAATGAATCATTTTTTTGGTATTTTGGTCAGACATATGCAACGCTGATTACCGTGTAATATGTGTGGCATTTATTAAAAATGTACGTTGGTACATAGAGGGTGATAAGGAAACAGGAAGAGAGGAAGACACCACACAAACAGCAGTTCACTGCCCGCTACGGGTTGCCAGGTTGGGGGAATTCCTATTTCCTCTTCCAGCACCTTTTCTTTTAGCTCGCACTTTGATTCATCAGGAATACACCTCCAATGGACCATTCGACTACTCACCATCTGCAAAAAAAGCCTCAGAACTTCTGGACGCCCCCCACCCCCACATAAAAGACGTTTGTCTACAGTTCCAGTTGGACCCAATGTTTTTTTGGAATGAAAGAATCCTTTGTTAAAATAGCAATATTTACAGCACATAATCTGACTGTGCCAACTATAGTTTTATTCTTTAAAGTACAATAAGTAGTAAAATACCGACAATAAATTAAGCAAAAGAGCTCAGTTTCTGTTTCGTTTCACTTTTCTAGCTCTTTTTCTTTCTCCGCCATAGTTAGGTTTTCATCTAAAAAAGCACAACCTTGTCATGTGCCAATAACGATTAAAAATCTTTCATAAATAACATGCATAAAATGTCAAACAAGTGTATAATAAAATGAACTTACAGACGTTGCTTTCGGAGAGCTAAAAGGATGAAAGATGACCGATAATGAGCACTACGCAGTAGATCTTCTCCCGCAACGAACTGCCAAGGAGAAAATGGAGAACTACTCCCGTCACGCAATTATTCAAGTAAAAAGTGATTTTGAAAAATTGTTGTGACAAATGGGTTGTGCTGGTTAAGAGAAAAAAAAAAAAATAAATAAAAAAATAAATAAATAAATGTGTAACTGACAGGAAGTAGTTCACCATTGGTGGAACCAGGACTGTGTAGTGCTCATTTTCAGTATCCTTAAACTTTCCGTGACAGTTGTAAGTTCAGTTTGTTGCCCACTTGTTTCATATGTATTGATTCATGTTACTGTACTTATTGCAGGGATGATTTTGACTTTATAATGGCATATGAGGTTGTGTAAAAAAGCAATAATTCATATCAACTATAACCCTTACAGAAAGCCTTATTTAAAGTTTTTGTCCCTTGCAGCGATTAGAAAATATTCCCATCACTAATCTTAATCAAGATGAATTCACAGTACTTAAATAATATTATACTATATACACAGTTGTGTGAAAAAGTGTTCGCCCCCTTCCTGATTTCTTTGCATGTTTGTCACACTTAAATGTTTCAGATCATCAAACAAATTTAAATATTAGACAAAGATAACACAAGTAAACACAAAATGCAGTTTTTAAATGAAGGTTTTTATTATTAAGGGGAAAAAAAAAAATCCGAACCTACATGGCCCTGTGTGAAAAAGTGATTGCCCCCTAAACCTAGTAACTGGTTGGGCCACCCTTAGCAGCAACAACTGCAATCAAGCGTTTGCGATAACTGGCAATGAGTCTTTTACAGCGCTGTAGAGGAATTTTGGCCAACTCATCTTTGCAGAATTGTTGTAATTCAGCCACATTGGAGTGTTTTAGAGCATGAACCGCCTTTTTAAGGTCATGCCACAGCATCTCAATCGGATTCAGGTCGGGACTTTGACTAGGCCACTCCAAAGTCTTCATTTTGTTTTTCTTAAGCCATTCAGAGGTGGACTTGCTGGTGTGTTTTGGATCATTGTCCTGCTGCAGAACCCAAGTGCGCTTCACGTTGAGGTCACGAACAGATGGCCGGACATTCTCTTCCAGGATTTTTTGGTAGACAGCAGAATTCATGGTTCCATTTACCACAGCAAGTCTTCCAGGTCCTGAAGCAGCAAAACAGCCCCAGACCATCACACTACCACCACCATATTTTACTGTTGGTATGATGTTCCTTTTCTGAAATGCCGTGTTACGTTTACGCCAGATGTAATGGGACATACACCTTCCAAAAAGTTCAACTTTTGTCTCATCAGTCCACAGAGTATTTTCCCAAAAGTCTTGGGGATCATCAAGATGTTTTCTGGCAAAACTGAGACGAGCCTTTATGTTCGTTTTGCTCAGCAGTGGTTTTCGTCTTGGAACTCTGCCATGCAGGCCATTTTTGCCCAGTCTCTTTCTTATGGTGGAGTCATGAACACTGACCTTAATTGAGGCAAGTGAGGCCTGCAGTTCTTTGGATGTTGTTCTGGGGTCTTTTGTGACCTCTTGGACGAGTCGTCGCTGCGCTCTTGGGGTAATTTTGGTCGTGCCGGCCACTCCTGGGAAGGTTCACCACTGTTCCATGTTTTCGCCATTTGTGGATAATGGCTCTCACTGTGGTTCGCTGGAGTCCCAAAGCTTTAGAAATAGCTTTGTAACCTTTTCCAGACTGATAGATCTCAATTACTTTGTTTCTCATTTGTTCCTGAATTTCTTTGGATCGCAGCATGATGTCTAGCTTTTGAGGATCTTTTGGTCTACCTCACTTTGTCAGGCAGGTCCTATTTAAGTGATTTCTTGATTGAGAACAGGTGTGGCAGTAATCAGGCCTGGGTGTGGCTAGAGAAATTGAACTCAGCTTTCCAAAGATGTGATAAACCACAGTTAATTTATGTTTTAACAGGGGGGGGGGCAATCACTTTTTCACACAGGGCCATGTAGGTTTGGATTT